AACTGATATTGCAGAAATTCAAAGGATCATTAGGGGCTACTATGAACACTATATATCATAAACTGGAAAATCTAGAAGAAATGAACAAGTTCCTACCTACCAAGTTTCCTATCTACTATACAACTACCCAGACTGAACCATAAAGAAATCCAAAACCTGAGCAGATCAATAATAATTAATGAAACTGAAATAATAAGAAAAACTCTCCCAGTAAAGAGAAGCCCAGGATGGCTTTACTTCTGAATTATATAAAACATTTAAAGAAGCACTAATTCCAATCCTATTGAAACTATTTCAAAAAATAGAGGAGGAAGGAATACTTACAAACTCATTATGTGAGGCTGGTATTACCCTGATAGCAAAACCAGACAAAGACACGTCAAAAAAAGAAAACTATAGGCCAATTTCCCTAATAAAAATTGATGCCAAAATACTTAACAAAATATTAGCAAACCAAATTCAATAATACATTAAAAATATCATTCATCATGACCAAATTGAATTTATCCCATAGATGCAAGGATGGTTCAACATAGACAAATCAATCAATGTGATGTATCATATCGACAGAATGAAGGACAAAAACCATGTCATTATTTAAATTGATGTTGAAAAAGCATGTTAAAATTCAACATCCATTGAGGATGAAAGTGCTAAAAAAATCTATGTATAGAAGGGACATACCTCAACATAATAAAAGTCATATATGACGGACCCACCACTAGTACTATACTGAATGGGGAAAAAATGAAAATCATTTCTCTAAGATCTGGAACGTGATGAGTATGCCCAACATGACGAGTATGCCCACTTTCACCACTGCTATTCAATGTAGTATCAGAAGTCCTAGCTATAGCAATTAGACAAGAGAAAAATACAAACGGCATTTAAATTAGAAAGAAAGAAATCAAATTATCCTTGTTTGCAGATGATATGATCCTGTATTTGGAAAAGCCTAAAGATGACACACACACACACAAAATAAATTAGAACTGATAAATTTGATAAAGTTGCAGAACACAAAATCAACATATAAAATTAAGTAGCATTTCTATATGCCAACAGTGAGCAATCAGAAAAGTAAATAAAAATGTAATCCCATTTACAATCACCACCACAATCAAATTAAATACCTAGGAATTAATCATATAAGGGAAAGATCTCTACAATAAAAACTATAAAACAGTGATAAAAGAATTTGAAGAGGACACCAAAAAAAATCCCTGTTCATAGATTAGAAAAATCAATGTTGTTAAAATGACCATACTACCCAAAGCAGTCTAAAGATTCAATGCAATCTCTACCAAAGACATTCTTTACAGAATTAGAAATTAAAAAAAAATTATTGAACCACAAAAGACCCATAATAGCCAAAATTAACCTAAGTAATTAGAACAAAATTTGAGGAGTCACATTACCTGACTTCAAGTTATACTACAGAGCTATAGAAAACAAAACAGCATGTAAATGGCATAAAAGAGACACAGACCAATGTAACAGGAAAGAGAATCCAGAAACAAATCCACACACGTACAGCAAACTCATTGTCAGCAAAGGTCCCAAAAACACACACTGGATTTCAGAGGATGTATAGAAATGACTGGATGTCCAGGCAGATGTCTGCTGCAGGGGCAAAGCCCTCATTGAGAACCTCTACTGGGAAAGTGTGGAGGGAAAATGTGAGATTGAAGCCTCCACTCAGAGTCCCAACTGGGGCATTCATTAACAGAACTGTGAGAACAGGGCCACCATCCTGCAGACCACAGACTGTTAGACTCACCAGCAGCTGACATCATCTGCTTGGCTGTGGAGAGCCTTTAGGAAAGAAACTTACATTCATGGCAGAAGACAAAGAGGGAGAAGGCACTCTACATGGCCAGAACAAGGTGAAGGCTGGGCGGAGAGGAAGGTGCTACATACATTTAAACAACCAGATCTCATGAGAACTCACTCACTACAATATCATGAGAATGTAGCAAGAAGGAGCTGGTGATAAATCATTCATGAGAACTGCTCCCATGATCTATTCACATGACACCAGGCCCTACCTTGAACACTAGGGATTTCTATTGGACAAGAGATTTGGACATGGATCAAAATCATATCACACAGAATGTCAGAAAATATTTGCAAACTATCCATCTGGCAAGGAATTAATAACAGGAATATATAAGGAGCATAAACAACCCTATAGGCAAAAATCTAATAATCTGATTTTTAAAATTGTCCAAAGATTTGAATAGGCATTTCTGAAAAGAATACATACAAATGGCAAACAGGCTCATGAAAAGACATCCAGCATCACTGATCATCAGAAGAATGCAAATTAAAACAATAACATATCTCACACCAGTTAAAATGGCTTATATCCAAAGACAAGCAATAACAAATACTGATGAGGATGCAGAGAAAATAGAACTCTAATATGCAGTTGGTGGCAATACAAATTAGCATAACCATTATGGAGAACAGTTTGGAGAGTCCTCAGAAAACTAAAAATAGAGATACCATATGATTCAGGAATCCCACTGCTGGGAAGATACCCAAAAGAAGGAAAATGAGTATATCAAAGAGATATCTGCACTCCCATATTTGCTACAGCACTGTTCACAATAGCCAAGATTTGGAAGCCACCCAAGTGTCCATCAACAGATGACTGGATAAAGAAAATGTGGTACATATAGAAAACAGTACTATTCATCCAAAAAAATATGAGATTTTTGTCATTTGCATCAACATGGATTCAACTGGAGGTCATTATGTTAGATAAAACAGCCAGGCACAGGAAGAGAAACATCACACATTCTCATTTGTGGGATGTAAAAATCAAAAGAATTGAACTCATGGAAACAGAGAGTAGAATGAGGGTTATGAGAGGCTTGAAAGGGTAGTGAGGATGTGGGTAGGAGATGGAGATGATTAATGGGTACAAAAAATGAGTTAGAAACCATGGCTAAGACCTAGTATTTAATAGTACAACAGGGTGACTATAATCAATAATAATTTAATTGTACATTTAAAAATAACTAAAAAAATTGTAATTGAATTCTTTGTAATAGAAAGAATAAATGCATGTGGGGATAAATACCCCATTTCTGTGCTGTGATTATTACATATTGCATGCCTGTATCAAAAGATCTCATGTACCCCACGAATAGAGATGCCTACTATGTATCCACAAAAATCAAATAATTTACAACTTCTATAATTTCTTCCAGAAATATTTTGTACTTTTAAGTGCATTATTTCACATATCTTGCTTAATTATCCCTTGTCAGAAACTTTCCATTTCAAGTTTTAACACCAAAATTTCAGTAAATATACTTTGTCATGATAAACTAAAATATTATTATGTAAGTAGATGTTATAGTTTTATACCTGGATGTTATTAGATACATAGTTTCCATTTCAGTTTTAATTTATTTTCCAATTATTTGAGGCTAGTACATAAAATTGATTTTTTAAAATTAATTTTTTATTCTTCAACCTTAACAATATCACTTCTTAGTTCTAGTGGCTTCTTTGGAGATTTCATTCATTATTTTACTCATCTTAGAGGTATACAATCATTTTGTCTACAAACAGTTTTATTCATTCCTTTCCAATTTAGATGCATTTTATTACTTTTTTTGACTTATTAGACTGGCTATACATTCCAATACAATATTGAGCAGAAATGAGATGAACATCCTTGATTTCTTTCTGCTCTTAAGTGGAATGCCTTCAGTGTTTCACCAGTAGGGATGATGTTACCTGTGAATTTTATACAGATGCTCTTTATTGGACAGGGAAGTTTCTTCTATTACTATTTTGCTAATAACCATTTTTAAAATTTTGTCATGTGCTCTTTTTCTGCTGAAAGATAAATTGTTATGTTGAAATATGCTCATTGTTTATTTTTATTGATGTACATATTTCACAGATTTATGGAGTATATGTGATTATTTCATACATTCATTGGATATGTAATGATCAAGTCAGGGAATTTGGAGTATCCATTACCCATGCATCATTTCTATGTATTGGGAAGATTTCAAGTCCATTATTCTAGCTACTTTGAAATATACAATACATTGTATCTAATTATAATCATCCTACTCTATTATAAATATTGGAACTTATATCTTCAATCTACCTGTATGCTTGTACCCATTAACCAGCCTCTCTCCATTGCCTCTGTACCTACACATCCTTCCCAGCCTCTGGTGTCTATCATTCTATTCTCTACCTCAATGATATTAACTTTTCTGGCTCTCACATATACTAACAACATGACATATTTGTCTTTATGTGCTCAGCTTTTTTCATTTAACATAATGATCCTCCAGACCCATCCATGCTGCTTTAATTGACATGATTTTGTTTTTTACATCTAAATAGTATTTCATTGTGTAGAAATACCATATTTTCTTTATCTGTTTATTTCTTGATAGACACTTGGTTTGATTTCATATCTTTGATATTGTGAATAGTGCTTCAATAAATATGTGAGTGCAAGTATCCCTTTTTATAATTTTTTTTGATAAATAATAGTGTGGTTGCTGGGTTGTATGGTAGTTCTATCTTCAGTTTTTTTTGAGAAATATCCATACTGTTTTCCATAGTGGCTTTACTATTTTACATTCCCACCAACAGTGTATGAGTTCCCTTTCCTCTGTTCTCTCACCAGCATCCGTTTTTTGACTTTTTAATGATAACCATTCTAACTGGGGTAAGATGATATCTCATTGTGGTTTTGGTTTGCATTTCACTGATGACTAATGATGTTGGGCATTTTTTGATATACTTCTTGGCCATTTGTACATCTTTGATATGGCTTGGATCTATGTTGCTACAAAATCTCATGCTAACCCCCAGTGTTGTAACCCCCTGTGTTGGAGGTGGGACCTTGTGAGAGAGATTTGGATCATGGGAGTGTATTCCCCATGAGTGGCTTAATATTATCACCTTAGTGATGAGTGAGTTCAGGCTAGTGTTCGGCATTTAACCCTTTCTCTCTTTTGCTCCTCCTCTTGCCATAATATCATATGTTGCTGCTCTTCTTCCTTCTTTACCTTCCACCATGATTAAAAGCTCCCTGAGGCCTCCCAAGAAGCTGAGCAGATGCCAGTCTCATGCTTATATAGTCCACAGAATCATGAGCCAATTAAACCTATTTTCTTTATAAATTGCCAAGTCTTAGGTATTTCTTTATAGCAATGTAAGAATGACCTCACACAGTCTTCTTTTCCTTTTTTTTTTTTTTTTTTTTTAAGAGTGACAGAGAGAGAGTCTTGCTCTGTTACCCCATCTGGAATGCAGTGGTGTGATCTCAGCTCACTACAACCTCCATCTACCAGGTTGAAGAGATTCTCATGTATCAGCCTCCTAAATAGCTGGAATTACAGGCATGTACCACCAAGCCTGCCTAATTTTTGTATTTTTGGTAGAGACAGGGTTGGGCCATGTTGGTCAGGCTGGTCTCCAAGTCCTAGCCTCAAGTGATCTACACACCTCAGCCTCCCAAAGTGCCAGGATTACCAGTGTGGGCCCCTACACTCTGCCAAAACATCCTTCTTTTAAAAATATGTCTATTCATGTTCTTTGCCCATTTTAAAATGTTTATAGGAATTATTGAGTTTCTTATATATTCTGGATATTAGTCTCTTATTTGAGAAACAGTTTGGAAATACTTTCTCCCATTCCACATGTTGTCTCTTCACTCTGCTGTTTCCTTTGTTGCACATAAACTTTTTAGTTTAATAAAGTCTCATTTGTCTATTTTGCTTTTGATGTCTATGCTTTTGTGACCTTAGCCAAAAAATCTTTGCCTAAGCCAATGTCCTGAAGTTTTTTCCCTATATGTTTCCTTCTTGTCGTTGTATAATTTCAGGACTTACATTTGAATATTTAATTTATTTTGAGTTGAGTTTGTATATGGTGAAAGATAAGGGTTTAGTTCTATTTTTCTACCCAAAGATATCCAATTTTGCCAGAACCATTTATTGAAGGGAGTGTCTTTTCCCCAATGCATGTGCTTGGCATCTTTGTAAAAAAAAAAAAAAAAAAAGTTCGCTGTAATTAAGTATATTTATTTCTAGACCCTATGTTGATTCCATTGATCTCTATGTATTTGTCGGTTTTTATACCAGTGCTATGTTGTTTTGGTTTCTATAGTCTTGTAATATACTTCGAAGTTGGTTAGCATAATATATGCAACTTCCCCCCCTCCTCAGGATTACTTTGACTATTTGGGCTCTTGTTTGATTCTTTACAAATTTTAGAATTTCTATTTCCATGTGGCATTGGTATTTTAATAGGAATTGCATTTAAATCTGTAGATTTCTGTAGGCAGTATGATCATTTCAACAATCTTAATCCATCTGATCCATGAGCATGAGATGTATTTTTTTTGTTTTATCCTCTTCAATTTCACTAGTTTTATAGCATTTCTTGTAGAGACCTTTCATGTCCTTGGTTAACTTATTCCCAGTTTTTTTGTTTTGTTTTGTTTTTTAAGCTATTATAAATAGAATTGGTTTCTGGATATGGTCCTCAGCTGGATCATTACTGGTGTATAGAAATGCTGGCCTTGTAGAATAAGCCAGGACAAATCTTCTCTTCTTCAATGTTTTAGAATAGTTTGGGAATAATTGGTCTTTGTTCTTTGAAAGTTTGGTAAAATTTGTCAGTGAAGCCATTCAGTCCTGAACCCTTCTATGTTGAAAACTTTTTATTGCCAATTCAATCTCATTACTTATTATCAGTATGTTCAGGTTTTCTATTTCTTCCTTGTTCAATCATAGTAGATTGTATGTGCCCAGGAATTTATCCACTTCTAGGTTTTCCGGTTTGTTAGCATACTGTTGTTCATAGTGATATTTAAATGACTTTTGTATTTCTGTGGTATCGCTTGTGATGTCTCTTTTTCATTTCCAATTTTGTTTATTTGGATCTCTCTCTCTCTCTCTTGCTTAGTATAGCAAGTGGTTTATTGGTTTTGTCTATCTTTTCAAAAAACCAACTTTTCATTTTAATAAACTTCTGTTATTTTAGTCTTTTTTGGATTTAGTTCTGTGCTAATCTTTATTATTTCTTTCCTTCTACTAATTTGGGCTATGGTTTACTCTTGCTTTTCTAGCTCCTTGAGGTATACTCTTAGATTGTTTATTTTAAAATTTCCTACTTTTTTGATTGTTCTTATTGCTATAAATTTTCCTCTTAACATTCCTCTTACAGTATCCCATAGGTTTTCCTATGTTGTTTCAATTATCATTTGTTTCAAGGATTTAAAAAAATTATCTCCTTAATTTCTTACATGATCTAATAGTCATTCAGGAACATATGCTTTAATTTCCATGCATTTGTACAGCTTTCAAAATTTCTCTTATTATTGATTTATAGTTTTATTGCACTGTGATCTGTAAAGATGCTTGATTTGATTTTTTAAGTTTGTTGAGACTTGTTTCATGGCTTAACATATTTTCTATCCTGGAGAATATCCCATGTGCTGATGAGAAAAATGTGTATTCTATAGCTGCTTTATAATATGTTTTGTAAATGTCTGTTTGGTTTAAGGTTCAGTTTAAGTCCAATGTATCACTCTTAATTTTCTGCCTAGATAATCTGTCTAGTGCTGAGAATGAGCTGTTGAACTCTCTCACTATTACTATATTGGAGTCTACCTCTCCCTTTAAATTTGGTAATATTTGCTTTATGTATCGGGGTACTCTGGTGTTGGGTGAATATATGTTTAGAATTGTTATAACCTATTGCTGAATTGATCTCTTTATTGTTATATAATGATCTTCTTCTACTTTTTTTAACTGCTTTTGTCTTAAAGTCTGTTTCATTTGATATAAGTATACTCCTGCTGGCTTTTGGTGTTTTTTTGCATTAAATACCTGTTTCCATCTTTTTGCTTTCTCTCCATACATATCTTTCAAGTGGGATGTGTTTTGTAGGCAGCATATTGTTAAGTCATGGTTGTCAATTCATTCATCCAATCTATCTTTAAAGTGGCAAGTTTAATCTGTTTATTTTCAAGGTTATTGCTATCTGATAGCCTATTTCTTGCAGTATATTAATTGATTTCTAGTGGTTTTATATATCATTTTTCTCTTTTATTGTTTCTTATTGTGAGTTAGTAATTCTGTAATGCTAACATTAGAGTCTTTTCTCTTTCTTACTTGTGTGTTTGCTCTACCAGTGTTTAAAAAATATTTTCATGTGTTTTTTTCATAGTAGATACCATTTTTTCAATTCCAGATGTAGGACTCCCTCAAACATTTCTAGTACAGCTGGTTTATTGGTAATGAATTACCTCAGCCTTCGCTTGTCTGAAAAAAACTTTATTTATTCTTCATTCATGAAGAATAATTTTGCTGAATATACTATTCTTGACTGCCAGTTGTTTCTTTTAGCATTTTAAATATGTCATCTCATTCTTTCCTGGCCTGTAATGTTTCTGCTGAGAAATCCACTGTTAATCTAATGAGGATTTCTTTATAGATGGCTAGATGCTTTTCTTTTGCTGTTTTTAGCATTCTGTCCTTGTTTTTGACTTTTGACAGTTTGACTATGATGTTCCATGGAGAAGACCTTTTTGCATTGTATCCATTCGGGGGGTCTGTGAGCCTTCTGTATCTGGATGTCTAAATCTCTTGCTAGACTTGGTAAGCTTTTAAACTATTTTAAAAAATGTTTTCTAACACCATTTATTTCTTTTTGCCTGTGAGACTCCACAAATTCAAACATTTGGCTGCTTTATGATGTCCTATATTTCATGTAGTCTTTATTCATTCTTTTTGATTCTTTAAAAATTTTTTTATTTCTTTTTTCTCAGTAGTAGCCTGGGCCGGGCAATTCCAAGGCTCTTGGACAGCATGCTTTGGCACAAAGGAGTTGCAAAGCCAGGCCGAATGTCTTGTCCTCTGGCACCCTGGTGGTATGTGTAAGAGCCAGCTGTGTTAGTCAGGGATGGCATGATTCTCAGGTCTCCATTTTTGTCTGACTGGATTATTTCCAAAGACCTGTCTTCACATTCTGAAATTATTTCTTCTGACTGATATCATCTCTTGTTGATGGTTAAAAATATATTTGATATGTCATTGAATGAATTATTTAGTTCCAGAATTTCTGTTTTATTCTTTTAATAATATCTATCCCTTTGGTTATTTCCCATTTATTTTCTGAATTTGTTTTCTGATTTTTCTTTTTTGTATTGTTTTTAGCATTCTCTTTTATCTCACTGAATTTGGGCTCCCATCCCATAGTCAGATAGTGAATATAGTACTCAATAGGAAGTTTTTAAGCCCTTTCCTCTTTCACTCCCTCCTTCTGTTTGGAGTCCCCGTGTCTAATGTTCCCTATTTACGTTCATATGAACTCAAGATTTAGCTCCACTTATAAATGAGAACACGTAGTATTTAGTTTTTGATTTCTGCATTAGTTTACTTAGGATAACAGCCATCAGCAGTATCCATGTTTCTGCAAAAGACATGATTTTGTTCTTTCTTATGGCTGCGTAGTAAACCATTATGTATATGTACCCAATTTTCTTTATCCATCACCCCACTGAAGGTCACCTACATTGATTCCATGTCGTTACTATTGTGAATGGTGCTGCAATGAACATACAAGTGGATGTATCTTTTTGGTAGAATAATTTATTTTTCTCTGAGTATATGCCCAGTAGTGAAGTTGCTGGGTCTAATGGTAGCTCTATTTTTAATTCTTTGATAAATCTCTACACTATTTTCCCCATTGGCTGAACTAATTTACATTCCCATCGGAAGGGTTTAAGCATTCCCTTTTCTCCACAGCCTTGCCAACATCTGCTATTTTTTGACTTTGTAATAACTGCCATTCTGACTGGTGTGAGTTAGTAGTTCACTGTGGTTTGATGTGCAGTTCTTTGATGATTAGTGATGTTGAGCATTTTTAAATGTGTTTGTTGGCTGTATGCATGCCTTTTGAGAAGTGTCTCTTTATATCTTTTACCGCACATTTTAACAGAATTTTTCTTTTTGT